AGAGAGAGAGAGAGAGAGAGAGAGAGAGAGAGAGAGAGAGAGAGAGAGAGAGAGAGAGAGAGAGAGAGAGAGAGAGAGAGAGGAGCACAATGGATGGAATGGAATTTTAAACCCGTCCTCCTTCCCTTCGTAATACTCTTACGCCTGCGGATATTAATTTATCTCATAATGATTCCCGACGAAGGAGGGGTGGGGGGAAGCACAAATTCCCTCTGATAATTTTCCGCAACGTGGGTGCTTATAGTTATTCAACGACTACGAATGTGTATACGCGCGCGTGTGTGTGTGTGTGTGTGTGTGTAAAAAAGAGAGAGAGAGAGAAGAAATGCAAAAGAAACGCACATTATTCATTACTAAACTGGTAATGTTTATGCACGATAAATATGCAAAGAGCATATGACATTTATGGACGAAAAATGTGTAAATATGTACAATAAATATGCACGTATATATATATTATATAGAATATTCTATTTTATGCATAATATATATATATATATATATATGTGTGTATTCAGAAAACAGTATGAATGTTACACGTTGATATGGTGAAAATGAAAAATTTCTCAAATGGGTCATCAAGCGACTTACTTCAAAACTGCAAGTTTTCTTATTCGATTAGCTAATTATTACTTATGAAATATATATATATATATATATATATATATAAACATATCCAATATGCATTTGCATAAATATTCGCAGTCTACTCATTACTCATTGCTCACTGCTCATTGCTCTGACAAGCGAAGAATATCGAAGGTTCCAGAGTTAGGTAGTTGTGTGTGCGTGTGCATGTATGTGTGGATCAGTCGATCGACAGTTAAACGAAGTATGGAAGATTCTAGTATTAGCTAGTTATGCGTGTGTATAGATGTATGAGATGCATCGATCAATAGTTATGGCGAGATGCATTTGTTTAAGGTAGTATAAGTAGGATCCAATAGTATTAGGAGTGAGAATGCGTTATTATTTAAGGTTATAAACAGTAATAAATAAAAACATTAGCTAGGAATTATTTGAAAAAAATGTGTATTAGCACACAAAGAGAAATTGAAACTAAATGGAAGAGTTAGATACGAAAGTTACATTTCAAACGTGTACTATACTATCATACTTGCACACCCACTGGTTGATTTTTATCGCAATAGATTGAAATATTTTTTGTAGGAATTCAATGTGATTTCGCGTAACTTGATATTATGTGTTTCAAGCTTTACATGAGCCCTGTTACACGAATCCGTAACACGAATCCGTTATACGAACCCGTTGCACTAGCACGTTACGCGAGCCCATTACATGAGCCCGTATATATTAGTAGATCGTAAATAGACGAGTCTAAAACGGTGGTCTCTTGCAATTAACAGAAGTAGCAATTAAAGGCCCCGGTAGGTGCATCGTCGAGTACAGTGAAATTTACGATAGTATGCAGTTTCGCGAGTTACCTTTTCCCTTTTCAACGTTATAGGTGCACCCACGAACACTGCCGAGTTATTTCTACATACATACGTATATATGTGTGTGTGTGTGTGTGTGTACATACCGGGTACAGAATTTCAAACAGGCCACTTAAATAATTCGATTGCCATTAGCAATAGAAACAAATGCGTTAGATGAAACTTACTTGATTATTTAATCTAATATAATCCTGTGTTAATAGCTTTTTCTTTCTTTTTTTTTTTTGTAAAAGAACACGTAGAATATATATGAAAGGGGTAAACTTTGTCTTTTTTAAATGGAATGATACATTTTTCTATACTATCTAATAGGGTGTTTTGAGATGCGTACAGAATGAGCTACGCTGGAGTTTTTATTATTTGCCTTTTTTTTTTTTTTTATTTTTTTTCTCTTACATATAATATACGTAGTAAACAGATTTACACATATGTACGTGGTATTGTATAGAACTAAAAACAAATAAGTTTCTTTCAACACATTTTTATTCTATCGCCGATAGCAATCGAGTTATTCAGGTGACCTGTTTTAAATACCTCACTCGGTATATCATAAATACATATATACCTATACAGATATAGTAAGTAGTTTGAAACACGTCAGAATTATATACACGGTTGAAATTGTTTAAAAATCACAACTGCTTCTCTTGGCACCCGAAAAATGTGTTAATTCGTAAGCAGATTTAACGAATCAAATATTTTTGGCATTTTACCATGTTTTTATTTATTACTTCGAATCTTTTGTAAGTTCGTTTGCGTGTATACGTACGAGTTTTTTTTTATTTTTTCTTTTTTCATTTTTTTTTTTCTTGAATTTTTTGATCATTTTTATGTATCTCTGTGTTTTCGTATTTTTCTTTCCTTTTTTTAAATTTTTTTTTGTATAGTATATTTGTAGAAGCTATGTGACTGTACGTACATTCCTGTATTTTTATCTTCTTTACTTTTTCTCTCTTTCTCTCTCTCTCTTTCTCTCTCTCTCTTTTAAATTGTAAGTTTGTGTATCTTCCGAGGCAGGTGTGTGTATATTGTTCTTATATGTATTTTTGTTCTTTTTTTTTAATCGACTATTCGTTTGCCTTCCTATATGAAGGTATTTGTGGTAGCGTATATTATTCTTTTCTTTTCTTTGTTTATTTGTAATTTTATCCTGTTTGGTCGTWTTTTTTYTTCCCTTTTTTTTTTTTTTTTATTTTACGTAACGATAATTCGTAATACTTTGCATTTTTATAATTACGAAATAAAATTATAAAGCACAAACACACATTTCCTTTCATTTTTAATAATATTTCAGATTTAAGAGAGATCAGAATTGAATATTAATTTAAAGGGAAATTATATATTAACTTTTTTAGCAATATTTTATATAATTTTTTTTTTCAACACACACACACATACACAATGACTATATTTATCAAACCTTTTATTACCCATGTAATAAAGCTTTAATAATTTCACGTGGCATTTTCTTCACGTACCGTACATTTTTTTAACATATACATACACAGGTTTTTATACCTATGCTCATTTTGCATTTGTCCTTTAGAATAATATTTTTCTTTCTTCTTACACGTGTTTACACACACGTAATAAATACACGATACACGCTATTGTCATTTTATTATCTTTTGTTATATGATTTTCTAATGGCCAGGATGTTGCCTTTGTGTGACTTGATATTTTAAAAAGAAGAGTAAAGATAATAGGAATAAAAAAAAATTACGAGAAAAGTTAACATTTATATTTTCTTTTATTTTTACTTTAAATCTATTTTAAAGATAGAATAATCAAGTATGTATAAGTTGAAAAAGAAAAATGGTTTATTAAAAGAAATTAATTAAAATAAATGTAATATTACTAAATATAAACGGACGAATAACTTTTTATTTGTACAAAATAGTTACCCATGTTTTTTAAAGTCTCATCTTCAGGTCAGTTCCCAATACATGTACATATGAATGTGCGTATATCTAAAATTCATTAGTTAAAGATAACAGAAATCGAAAAGTACATAAAATGTACACACGTATGTGCACGCATACACGGTACAGGTTACGATGTATACCGAACGAAAGATAAATAATAATAACATTTCTCGATACAAGTTAAACTCGGTGAAGAAGGTCGAAACTGTTCAATCTCATTTAAACTTTTGTCGTGTAAACACGTATATATAATTTAACGTTTCTAATTTTAATAAAAATTATTATAACATAGAAGTGTGTGTGTGTGTTTTAGCATATACGTAAATTACTCATCAATGTGAAGTAAATATTATACATATCATAACGTTATGTATATGTACATGTTAGTACTTACATCGTGTGAATATTATAATATACTATATATGAGATAATATAAGCTACCAATCACAAGTTTGTAAATCACTTTCTGATTTACGTTAAAATCGTGTTGTATACCGATACATTTTCACAAACTACTTATCATTGTTATATTAAATATTAACAAATTTAATTACGTTTTGAGGAAACGTTAGTATCTTCTTATGTCGATAATGCTCTTATATAATTTATACACTTAATTAAAGGCAATGTTTGAAATGAACTTTCCTACTGAAACATCTTTGGCAACTTCTACGAGGAACGTAGAATATTCAATTAAATACACTCGAAAAACTAATTACTAAGATGGTCAGAATATGTTAGTCTGTCGTTAAAAATAAAACCGGTTATTTTTGATAAAAGAACAATTTAAAGAAAATAATGCAAAATGTAGAAGCACACGGTACTTGCAAAATTTCTTGACGAATTAATCTACCCTACGGTTACTTTTAAAAGAAATTCGTTTTGTTTTATAAATATTTTCTATCTCTTCATTTATGAAATAATTTCTAAGATTTTTACTGGAAGTGTATATATAAATATATACATATATTTCATACATTATTATTATATATTAATTGAACATGATTTATATATGTAATTAGATACGTAGAATGATATTATTTGTACTTATGCTTTATCTATAATATATATTAACTGAATATGATATACTATATGTACATATGAGATGACTTTGTATCTAGCTATATATATTATGTACATATAACATACACACACACACATTCAAATAAAATATAAATAATTATTTAATGTTTCAGGTAGCCTTTCTCAGTAGCGGTTAAAAAGCCGGACAAATAAAATCCAAAGAAGAAAACGATAAAAGTATAGTGACAAATAGAGAAAGAATATTTCAACGGATTTTTTTATTTAAAAAAAATAAAGAAAGAAATAAAAGAAGTCGAAGAAAAGATTAAGTAATGTCCTCGTTGCTGAACGTCGAGCCTGGTGGCTCACAATTAAGACCAACGAAAATATTCATCGCGACCGCAACGACGACAAACAAAATTGTTACAAATATTTCCTTGTGAAAATACTTTATTTTGCAATTTTTTTCTTTCCTCGCGTGATATCATCGTTCTTTCGTTTATTCTCATTCTGTTCTTTCTCTCCTCTTTATTTTCTTTTCCTTTTCCCTTTCTCTGTCCCTGTTCCTCTGCACCTGTCTCCGCCACCCCCTCCCCACCTATTTTTCTATTCACTGTAAAAAGAGCTTGAAAAGGGCTCGAAAGGATCGACGACATCGATTGAGAGACTCAACAGGAACGTAAAAAAGTTAGAAGCCTTTATCTTCGTTACACTACCACTACTACTACTACTACCATCACCACTACTACTACTTTCTTCGACAGTATTGAAAGTGAACAAGCCGTCAAGATGTTGCCTGCTAACGTGATGTCCTTCATGAAAAAGGTAAGGTCTTTAGTTTTCTTTTTTAACTGTCTATCTATCAAATCACGTTTCTTTTCTTTCATACCTTTGTAACATACTTTTTTTATATCTTATTTTTAAAAAGGGGCCCAGTCAATTTCAATTGTTAACTTAATTGGATATAATTATCTCTCTTAAAAATAAGATAATTAAAAGAAAGTTCGTTATATTAAATGAAATTTTTTTAAAAATACGCACACCAAGGTAAATAATATATTAATTATATAAGAGAAATAATAATTATTTGAAGTATACAAAAATATATGAACATTATATAATATATACAATATATATTATAATATAATTAATTATATATTAATATTATTTTATTTTTCTT